ACATCTGCCCCTTCTTTCTCCCTCCTTCCTTCTTTCTGCAAATATTTCTGGAGCCTGAGGCACTGCCCGGGTGCTGGGGACAGGGTGAAGAATGATAAGCAGCCTCTGATTCCAGGAGATCGCAGCTCACCCTCACACCCACTGCCCACCTTTCCAGCCTCACAGTGAAGCATCCTCTAGGAAGAATCCTCTGACAGCACATTAACTCTTCATTGGGCACTGTATTATCTAATTGCCTAATCTTTCATGGGGATAGGGCCCATGCATGTCATTTTTAAAAGGAAACACTTGAGTATGATAATAAAAACCAGTTGTTGTTGAGTTGATTCCGACTCATGGCGACCCCATGTGTTGTGTGTAAGAGCAGAACTTTGCTCCACAGGGTTTTCAATGGCTGATTTCTCAGGAGTAGATCGCCAGGTCTTTCTTCTGAGGGGCCTCTGAGTGGATGTGAACTCCAACCTTTCAGTTAGCGGCCGAGTGCATTAACTGCTTGTACCACCCAGGGTATAATAACAACAACGATAATGGACATCATTTTGTAAGTTCATTCTACGGTCTGCTGCGCACCACGCTAAGTCCTTTAGATGTATCATCTAACGTAATATGACATTCCCATGAGGTGGGTGCTGTCATTATCCCCATTTCACAGATAAAGCAACTGAGGCTCAGCAAGGTTAAACTGAACTCTCCCAGTGTCCCTCAAACAGTAAGCCAGTCAGGATTTGAACTTCAGTCTCGGGGACTCTCTTGTCTGAGGCTGGAAGGGAGTGGAAGGAAAGGAACAGGGGGAAACAAGCAGGGAAGGGCACTGACACCAGGTGGAACAGAATCAAGTAGTGGACGAGGAAAGGAAAGTATCACAGACTGGGTATCCCCAAGGTTGGGCTTCCAGAAGGAAAACTGGACACTGCCGGCCTGGAGCGAGCTAAGCCCATACTCTGCCTCCAGCAGCAGGCAGTGGTCTGGTGGGAGTGGATTTCTCATTGCTTCAAACCCCATCTCTCACTCGCAGAGACCTTTTTGCCTAAAAGTAGCTGGATGTGAATGGGAAGGCTAATTTATGTTCTGTCCTATAGGGTCACTATGAGCTGGAATTGACTCGACAGCAATGGATTTTTTTGGGTGGGCAGCTTACTGCAGCGTGACTCAGAGAGACAGAGGGTGTCGGGAGTGGTCAACCTGAGTCCCCCTCTGAAGCCGGCATGGCCGCAGACCATATCACTTTTAATTTGGGGCTGGAGGCCAGGCATCTCTCTAAATCAGAAGCAGTTCTTGGTTTCAATTCCGGCCACACAGGGCAGTCCCAGTGCTAAACATAAGGGAAAGTAAAGAAAGTTTCCTAACGACCCCACCTACACAGGCCCTGTCAGACTGTGAACACCTGCGGAGGGCTGTTCCCAGAGCGACACACTAGGCCGACTTAGGGGACATCAGCTCAGGGCTGTAGGACACCTGGGCCTGGTGCCTGCTGAGCTGTGTTCAAAGTGGGGGTGACCTGGAGCCCTGTGCCCCTCACCTGTAAAATGGGATCACAACACCTGCTTCCTGGGCACCCGTGTGATAACAGATGCAGCACAGCCCAGTAAATTGTGCCCCATGATGTGTTCCGGGAAGGAGTCGGGTTCCACCCCTTCTGGAGAAGGTGGCTGTGCATCCTTGCAGAAGGCTGAGTTTCCCCCGGAGTAATGCCAGTCATAATGAAAACAACAAGAGCTGACATTCACTGAGCACCGAGATGCCGGACACTTGGCCTGACCTCATTCAATGTTTACAACCCACTTTATTGATGGGAAAACAGAGGCACAGTCTGTGGGTCTCGAGGCTGAAGCCTAACACCTACACAGGACTAACCATGTACTAAGTGTTGCTCTAAGCTACTACATTTTGTCTTCACGACAACTCTATGAGGTGGTCACTAGTATCATCCCCGTTGCACAGATGAGGAAACTGAGGCACAGAGAGACTGAGTAACTTGCAGTCCCACAGCTTGTAAGTGGCAGATCTGGCATTAGAACCCAGGCCACTCAAGTCTGGGGTCTACAGCTCTATGCTCTTCTGTCCCTCTCCAAATCTCTTCCTGCTCCACCTTCACCCTGGGAAATCTTTCTAGGGACCAATGAGGCAGGGCTCTGCTTAATCTCTGATGGACTTTTCTCCCAGAATGTAGTGCTTCCTCCTTCTCAGAGACCTTTCCCATCAGAGATCTCATTTGGTTCTCATGAAAAATAAGGAAACCAAGGCCCAGAGAGGTAAAATGATTGGTCCAAAGGCATCCAGCTGGCAGGTGGCAGAGCAATAGCCAGGGCTGTCATTATTCTTTCCATTTTACAGGTGAGAAAACTGAGTCCCCTTTATTTTTCATGTAATGTCTAACTTCTTGTAACTTCTGTGGAATTCTGTCTGAGATGCTGCTCTATGCCATACCTCATGCTTTCTCTTCTCTCTCCTTCACAGCCCGGCTCAAACACTTCCTTCTCCAGGAAGCCTTCCTGAATCTCCATTACCCATCCACCTCACCTCTCCTCTGAGCCTGGAGCCCTACCTGCACTTGGTCTCAATTATCTGCTACTTTGGCTGCTCAGGCAACTGGGAGCTGCTCCTTGTGGGCTGAGGACTCAGCAGCCACACGTCAGGGTGTCCCTGGACAGACATTAGATGGTTATTCAGCCCTCGTCTGGGCCAGGCCCAGTATATTCCTGCCCTCAGGCATGTATTCCCCACTCCTCCTGCAGCAGTACACAGTGGGGGACACAATGAATAACTGGGGGGGCACCACATAGTGCCGGAACTTGGCCGTGTTTGCTCTGTGTGTCCCAGGGTCCCAAGAGCCATTTGGCTGGTGGTGGGTAGTGGGGAGTTTCTTAACCTGGGTCCCTGGCCAAGCTTCGTGGGGGTTTGAAAACCCACCGATACTGTGAGCACCTTGGTTGCACCGGTTGGCTCTCTTTCTGGGGAGAGGGCACAGCTTCCATCGGGTCTCCAGAGTCTGGGCCCAGAGACGTCTGAGAACGGCTGCCTCACGGGAATCTCCTGGTCCGTCCAAGGGCAAAGTTCATTTGGGCAAACCCTGCCTCCTAGCAAGCCAGGTGTGCCAGCCTGGTGGTGCAGGTGACCACGGATCATCCCGCCAGGGACTGGGGACCACACTTGGCTGGGACCTAGAAGTCCCCAGGCAGAGCCCCTCTCCCTTCTTAGGACCACATGTGGCCGTTTTCAAGTCCTGAGCTAGAATCACACTGTGAAGAAAGGATGCTCACTCCCATGTCCCCCCCTCCAAAAAACAACCACAACAAAAAACCCAACCAACCAAACAACACAAAACCAAAACCACAACCACACAGTACCAAGGAAGAAGAAAAGGCGTTTCTGAACACCTGCGAAGGCACAGTGCGTGCACAAAATCGTCAGTGGGAGCAGCCCATCTGGGAAGAAGGACCCAGTCTCAGCTCTTCCTCCTGACCCAGGAGGGGAGGGTCCCAGACAAAGAAGGACACAGGCCCCTAGAGGTGCCGGGCTTAGCAGGGGTGTGGGCACCCAGTCACGCCTAGACTGATCGGCACACCTGGGTGTGCAGTGCGGGCCACCAGGCCGCCTCGGTAGGCAACGCATTCAGGGTGTGTCAGCAGGTCTGCCTAGGGCAGGAGTTGGGGTGCGAGGGCTGCAGCGAGAATCATTCAGATGCTGACTGCCTCCCAGGTTGTGGTCTATACCTGGGAGAGGGATTTTCACCCACTTATTCTTACAATAATAATGGCTGCCACTTACTGACTGCTCACTGCATGTCCAGCCCTGCACCGGTCACTGTGAGATAGGTGTTGGCCCATTTTCCAGAGGGAGAAACTGAGAGTTCAAGCATGGACTCTGCGGGGTGTCAGGACACAGACTCACATCCATGTCTTTTGGGTTATGTAGAGAACCCTTCCCCATCATGGAAGGAGGCAGCAGCTTGTGGCAGGTCAGTGTGGGGACGGGGTCCCAAGCTCTGACGTCGAAGCTGGGCTAATTCTTTCCCACTGCTGCCTTGCAGCAGACGGCCTAGCTTTGGTCCTTTCCCCAGAAGCCCCTAGAAACAGAAACCCTCTCTCTCTGGAGATCTCTGGCCTGCTTATTTTGGCAATGGAGGGAAAGTCCACGCACCCCCCCAATAGGATGGGACATGCGAGGGCATCTGTCACCCACCCCACGATGGCCCATCTCCCTGACACCCTGTGTGCCCAGAAGCCCCAGATCCCCAGCTAGAGTCTGGATTTGGAGAGCTGGGCACAATGCCAGCCTAGCGGCAGGGCTGAGGAAGCTGGAATTGGCTGCACATGAGCAACCCAGATAAGCGGATTCCTGGGGCCTGGGGAAGGGAGTGTGGGGTGGGGGTGGGTGGACCCCTGAGACCAACCACTGGGGGCTGAGTGGGGACAGCAGGAGCCCGGTGAGCCTTGGTTCCGGCAGGGCAGGATCCTCCCTCCTGCTCCACCTCCGAGGCAGGAGGCCTTCCATCCCAGGATGGACCTAAACTTTGCCGCTTTGGTGAGCTGCCCCTTCTGACAGGTTTGGCACCTCCCTTTCCAGAATGCAGCTGTGCTCCAGCTCTGTCCCCTACCCCCAGCCCTTTTTCTCTGCAGGGAGCTTGGGTCAAACCGAGCACTTGATGAGGGAAAATGGAATACACTAGAATGGCCCCACTGGCTTTTCGGCCAGTGTCTGAGACATAAAAACCAATTGTTATCGATCAAGTTAACTCCTACTCATGGTGACCCCATGTGCATCAGGGTAGAACTGTGTTCCATAGGGTGTTCAATGGCTGAGTTTTTGGAAATAGATCACCAAGTCTTTCTTTCGAGGTGCCTCTGGGTGGACTCGAACCTCCAACCTTTCAGTTAGTGGCACCACCCAGGGACTCCTAAATGAGACATGCCAGTTGTTCGATATCGCATACTGACTGTGGAGCCAACTCTGATAGGGGCCGCAGGCACTGTGACCCTGGGGTCCAGTCTCCCACCTACCTTCGACAGGCGAGGTCTTGAGGCTCCGGCAGATGGCTTCGGTGTCCCCATAGGTCTCCTTGATCTTGACCACGGCCTCGGTGCCCCGCAGCTCCATGAGGGAGCGGAGCTCCTCCATCGTGCACCCAAACTCGCCCCCATGGCTCGACTCATTTCTTTGGTTTTTGGAGTAAAAGTCGCTGTTGGTCATGTCACCCATGACTGCCCCAGTCCCCACTTGGGGTGAGCCCGAGGGTCAGTGCTGGACAAGAGGCTGCTGCGAGATGGCTCCGTGTGGCTGTCCTCAGCTCAACCTCACTGGATAACTTCGGCTCCTGGCCACCAAGTCTGGGTCCCAGGGGTAGGGGGCGGCCGAGGTGGCCGAGGTGGTGAGCTCCAAGGGGTGTCCCCAGGTGTGGGAGAAGGTCCAGGGGCCAGAAGGGCTCAGGGCTGCAGACCCAGGAGTCTCCATTCAGTGGCGCCCATGCTGCTCCCCAGAGCTGGCATCTACATGGTCAGGGGTGGCTCCTGCGGGGCAAGCACAGAGGGTGGATGAGGGTCAGGTGGCTACAGGCTTCACAGGACAGGTGCTCAAGAATGCCCCAGTGCATGTGCACACACACACAATACACCTATACAGACACATGCACACACACATACACACATACACCACAGACATACACACACACATACACATACACGCAC